ATATACATGTTGATGGACATTTATTTATATAAACACACATATTCTTAAAATTAAGTAATTAAAACATCTTATTGGAGAACAGCAAAACTATCATAAGAACAAAGTGATCTATCTGGCAGCAGCAATCCAATTTTACATTCTTGAAAATAATCCAGCCTTGTATTGTTCCATAGAAAATGTCTAGGGATTTGAATTTCAGTAATGGCTTGTCTGCAAATGTCGTATCCTGTACTCTTCCTTAATTTGGGGATTAAGAATTTGTGTGTGGATAAATACAGGCAGACTTCTGTCATCCTGAAAATTCAAGGGCTTTAATGACAGCTGCAAATATTTGGTTTATCCTGTGAAAGGCACCTGAATGGATATTTATGGAATGGAAGACTAAACCTCTTATTTTAATAAATTTTATTTAAATTTTAATAAATTTCTCCAATCCAAAAAAAAAAAGAAAAACATCCAAAATCAATCACTATTACCTTTTGGGAAAAGAGTATGTCATTGTTTAGCTATATTGGGCCTTTTGAAAACTGAGAATCACAGCCCACTAACAGTGACCCCCTCAGGTCGCCTCATGATTTTCCTTTACTGGCCAACTCACACCCTTCTGCTAGGAGTTGACATAGCTTTTCCTCACCATAAGTTTCTATCCTTTCACATCACGCAAAACTGACCTACAATGTGTGTGTTTCATTTCTGGATTCCTTGTCCTCAGAAACTAGTATAGTGTTTGGGGGGGGTGGTTATTTTGTTTGTTTTAATCTTTTTTTTAGATGTTGATGGACCTTTATTTGGTTCGTTTATTTATATCCGGTGCTGAGAATCAAACCCAGGGCCTCACACATGCTAGGCAAGTACTCTACCACTGAGCCACAACTCCAGCCCCAGTAATATAGTGTTTTTGAAAAAGAAGTAGGTAGTAATAATGAGTTCTAATCTAGTCTTACAACAAACAAATTTATACAACGGGCTGGGTCCCAGCTCTTCTTAGACTCTGTTTCCTTATGTCTTAAGACAAAAAGGATATAAATGAGATTGTTTCTAAGAGACTTTTCAGATATACTGTTCAGAGTTTCTGAGCTGCTTAATTGCACTAAGATATTGTAACCTCACACCCTTAATATCCTTTACTCCCCGATAATGTCATCTGCCCTTTGGATTAAGTAAAATCCAAAGAAATGGCTGATGTCACTCAGGAGCAGATGCATACACTTGAATGTAGGTATGCCTGAAATAACCAGGAGGTATTGCCAACTCTTTGTTGTCCAACAAACGTTTTAAGCAACTTATGTCACAGCAAACTCAGCCAGGAGGATTTCTATGTAAACCCAACAGAGAAAAACCTACATACAGATTTAAGCATCTGGTAACTGAAGGGTACACAGATAGCAAGATTCCTTCCCAGAGCAGGCATCTCTTCTATCTGAGGTCTAACCAGAGTCAAAATGCAATCATCATGGGGGTCAAGGGGAAGCTATTCATTCATGCACAAGTTTATGTATGTAGTATAATCCAAATTCTTTCTTATTAGAGAAGATTCTCAATCAACTAGGAAATTGAACATACCAGAAATAGTAGACATTTTAGTATCTCACAAAGTGTGGAAATAGAATTGTGAAACATCACAATGCAGCCGTGTTTAAAGGTGGTTCATTTGTCAGCTGCTGATTTGCTACACTTCATCAAATAAACTACCTTCAAAACTTCCTAGGGCCTACTTACTATTACATGAGATTGCTCACCAAACAAGTGTGCATCTGATTATTCAATGAGCTATTTTTTTCTCTGTTTCCTAAATGAAAAAAAGATTCTTGTAAATATTAACTTCTTATGGTTATATGCTTAGCATTTCATTAGCGTGTGTTTATGAATTTTGAAAATAGTAAAAAAAAAAAATATTTGAACTCTCCCTTCCCGTACTGATTTTTGAATGTGCATTTTAAAAAGATTTGACAGCAGAAATGTTTTTCAGGACAGGAATGACTATGTATTTCATAGTACATTTTATTTCATTTCAGTGAAAGCCTAAGGCCAGCCTCAGCATAACTATAATTTATATAAGTTTTCTTTAGAGTATTTTTTTTGTTTTAGGACCATAAAATATTTCCTGAGTAACTAATATATATGCTCATGTCTTCTGTATCCCCCCTCACCTTCTTAATAAAATCCAACTTTCACCAGATGTCCATTGGAAAGCCTTTTGTTAAATTAATTCATGCTAACAACTTTCTCAAATCGCAATAATAATTACAACAAAGAGATAAATAATTACAAGCAAGGGAATGAAACCAAAAAGCACAGAATTTCAGGTTTTTAATTTTAAAGTTGGAAGCCTTTCTAGGTGTCCCCGAGCCATATACGAACCACATTCTCATCTGTGAGACCGTTGTCACAAGATTTCAGCGATTACTCAAGTTGTTACAAGGAATGATTCCTAAATCAGGAGGGCTTTATATATAGTTTGAGTGAAAAAAAAATAGCTTAACTATATACAAATAATCTATCAAGTTTCAAAACGGGTTTTAAATATTTAGCAAGAAATAAAGTATACTTTCTATAAGACTAAGGAATAGATGAAGTCAAAAGCAGAAATATATGCCAAACCTTCAGGGTACAAGGGATACCCAGTAATGAGTGTTTGCACATCAACATATACACTTTAACTGAGCATCTTTTGGCTTTTTTTTTTAATTCACTGAGCAAGACTTCCAAGAGTAGGTAGTATGCATTTTTGTTCTTACCATAAAATGGAAAGAAAAAAGCAAGGGGGAAAAAAGCTACCTTATTCTTATTAAGAAATTATGCAGAGGAACTGAAGGCACCCCAGAAAATTAACAAATAATAAGTTAAGGAGACAAGTATATACCTTCAAAATTACAAAGTAGGCAAAGCAGGTAGAAGAAGAAAACCATCCAGGATGGGCCTTAACTATATGATCACTATTATGGTAGGAAAACTTGGTGATTTTTGCTTGTCTTAAGAAAAGACTTAAGATGCTGAAAGCAATTTAAAAACAAGGTTGATTGTCTGAAATAATAAATTCTATGAGTATGCTTATATGAATTCAAACCCATCTCTAAAATTCACCTTAGTTTCCAAAAAATGATCAATTCTCTAATTTGTGTTATTTGATTTACTAAAGATATTTTCAGTAGTAGAAATGAAGTCGGACGCAGTCTAGGTTCTATACCCTGATGGGGAACACAGAGGAAGCTAAGAGTCCATCAAGAGACCTGTTGATTCTGGTGATGGGAGCTGAATCAACATGTAATCCATGGATTAAAAACATCAAGACCAAAATTCTAAGTTTGAAAACCATAGAGTCTGCTTTCTGTAAATTGTTGTATGGGAGACGATAACTTCGATAGTTCCACAGGGCTGAGTATGGACATCATGGCTATTATTTCTCTCAACCCTTTGCCCCTGCCATGAAAGCCCATGCCCTGCATTAGTACCACAGCTCTCCCGTGGCAGCTCTGAATCACAGGCACAGTGCCTAAACAGAGATAATGGGCCTCTCACGATCTGGCCCAGAATCTACAACCTATTAAATGAAAGCAAATAGAACAAAAGCCAAAAAAAAGTCTGGAAACTAATCAACTGGCCTAGAAAAGGAGTGAACCAGCGTTATTAAAACATATAAACATGCAACTTTTAATATTAAAAAAGAAATTATGCACAACCGAATCACCAAGTTTTCCTTTAAAAGGAAAATTTCATACCATATCAAATTCTGTTGGTACAAATTACAAAGAAATTACAAGCACACAGAAAACAGAGTTTATATTGTGTAATATTTTCAAAGTTTTCCTCTGTCTTTCATGTTGTTCCAAAGAATTTAGTAGGATAAATACTTAATAAAAGTCTTCTAAGAGACTATGTTCATGATTGAATGAATAATTAAAAGAATGAATTAATCAATGAACATGCCTATTTTCCTAGACTTTAACCACAGATAAAAATTCACTCTACCTAAAACCTCTGCTTACAGAGGTTACAATCCAGACATGGAGCATGGGTTATATAAGTTGCCTCCAGGGCTTACTGTGCCCAATTTTTAAACCCTTATTATCTGTGCTATACTCCAACAAATGACAAGCCAAGCTTTTACAAACTGCCAGTGACAATATTGTTGCTAAATTCAAACCTTTTCTTCTTCAGTTCACATTCACCTTTCTGAAGCAAGGGTTAGAATTGGACATAATCCTTTAAATTTCCAAATCTGTAGAGTAGTAGTAATTATAAATCTCATATTACAATTGATATGAGCTTCAGATGTGAATTACTGTGTTTTTTGGTAGCTTAATCTGATATCCATTTCAAGTGTCCCCCTTCCAATTAGGCTATGAAAATGTAATGTAATGTAATGTAATCTCAACCAACTGTATTTGGCCTCCTCTGCCACCCAGTGCCACTCAGATGTTCTGATGATCTTTAAGCTTATCTCAGTTCCTAGATATCAAATCACACAGCCAATTTTTCTTGAAATTTTATTGAAGAAGTTAGTCACAAAGGCCTTTACACTACAATCTTGTAAATTATTGGTCATGTCACCCACCCTAGGAATCAGCTGAGAGGAATGAGAAGCGGTCTCATTTCTTTGTAGGGTCCCACAAAATCTGGTTACTATCTCAAAATTTAAAAAAAAAAATAGAAAGGAGTAGCAATGTAGCTCAGCAGTAGAGTGCTTCTGGTACTCCATCCCCAGTACCACACCAAAAAAAGAAAAAGAAATCCCATTCAAAATGTTAGCATTTCTTTGTCATTTTTCACCCTCCTGACTTGAGCCCCCAATCTGATTCATTCTCTGTCCTGATGAAGCCTACAGGCTCACAGTTCATCTATGAACATAATAAATGATGGTGATGGTATTATATCCCACTTGCTGTGCTTACTTCAACTTTTAAACTCTGGACTTTCAATAGGATACTAATTTCAGTTCAGTCTCCCAGGGAAGAGAACATGGAAGGTCTTCCCTGTAACAAACGTCCTTGTCTTTTCAGAGTGTGGAAGGAGAGCACCATGAGAAAGCTGTGGAACTACTCAAGGCTGCAAAGGACAGTGTCAAGCTGGTGGTCCGATACACCCCGAAAGTCCTGGAAGAAATGGAGGCTCGCTTTGAGAAGCTGCGGACAGCCCGGCGTCGGCAACAGCAGCAATTGCTCATTCAACAGCAGCAGCAGCAGCAGCAACAAACACAGCAAAACCACATGTCCTAGGTGAGAAGTGCCTGGTTCTGTATAAGGAAGGTCCCTTAGATGTGATCGAAATTGTTGTTTTTAAAAATACAGTTCCCTAACTGAAACAACATCACTACATCTAATAGTCCAAACAGAATCAATCTAATCAAAAGACAAGGATGTCAAAAAAAGTAAGCATATATCACATAGTTTTTTGTTTGTTTGTTTTTTATGTGTGAATCAATATAGTCTCAAGGAATGTTAAAGAAAATAATATACTTTGGGAGGGTCAAGTACAGATTCTAAGATGCCTTTAGACAATTAGGAAATACAGTCTCTGTGCTAACCAGATCTACGTGATAAGAGTATGATCTGGATTCAAGTCCCCACTCATTCCTTGACCATTGGCCGTTACGCAGTGTACAAACTGTACAACCTTACAGTGCTGGCCCTGTGAAGATCTTGAGAATAAAGATAAAATTTATGGGAAATATGTTCCACCTGGAAGAATGAAGTAGAGACCTGCCAAGGCTCAGGATCTGAGAGATCTTGAAGTTCATTTTTGTTATTCATTTAAAATAGATCTAAGATTCTCTTTCTTTTTCTAAACTCCACTTGGTGACTCAGATGCCAAATCAAGTGTTGCTGTGTATTTCCAAGAAAACTGAAGGAAACAATGTTGACAGTAAGAGTCATCATCATTGAAGTGCCCATTGTGTGTGAGGCCCTTACACACATTATCCCTAATACTATGAAAAAAATCCTTCAAGGCAAGTGTCATTAAATCCTGCCTCTTTGGATGAACAACCTGATATTGCAGTAATTTCACTGGATTCCTCATAAACCCATTTACAAGAAGCACAGAATTATTTTTCTCTTACTCTATCATGTATTTCATCTGCCAATATCAGATGTTCTGAAGTTACATACATTTTTCTTGCTATTTTTGGAAAAAACAGTTTATATCATCAAATACCTTTGCACTACAATGTATGCAGGTGTGTATTTGAAATGAGGCTCAAATATTCTTGGAAAAATGATGATGGTAGGTTTGAGTTATTTCATATTAGATTACAAATTGCACAACCAGGGACATTGGATATAACATGAAGTTTTCAGATTTTTGTGACTCTTATTAAAAGGAGAGGCTATGTAGGGGACTTTTTAAAAAATGTACAGGATTTATCCTCTGAAACTCTTGGAAATTTAACCATCTATCTCCCATAGCCTGCTGCTTTTATTAGACATACTATGGCTGTTATCTTTTTCTAGAACTACATTTTCATTCTAAAATGTGTATTTATTCAACAATAAACACCTCCTTGGCACTCCCAAGCATGAGCAACGTCCTAGATCTCATGATGCTGACAGTCTGGTGGAAGAGAAATTTATTTTTTTAAAAAAATGTAAATTAAACACTTCCTATTGGGACCAGTGGTTTACACAGTTAGAGAGTAATTAAGGCTGTTTGAATAGAGACTGGTGAGTGGAAACTTCAGGCTCCGTTGTCAGGAAACACCTCTCAAAGGAGAAAACATTTAAGATGGAACTGAACAAAGAGGAGAAGCCACAAAGAGAGACTAAGAGGAGGAAATAGCCAGTACAGTGGTGCACAAGCTACTTGATGTTTGAGGAATAAAGAAAACCTGGGTAGTTAGGGGTAGAGAGGGAGGAGGAAAGACAGTAGTGGTTTAAAGGGCACCAAGATGGGTGGGGGCCAGCCACAGAGTGCTTTGCAAAGCCCCAGGGAAATGAGGTACAGTGGAAGACCCTGAAGGTTTTAAAGCAAAAGAGCGACCAGAATTTATGTACCATAGAGATCATTCTAGCTGCTGTGAAAATGATGAATGCAGCCTAAGAGTAGAAGCAGACCAACTAGAAAACACAATGGTCCAGGCAAGAGATGTGGTGGCTTCTGCTAGATGATGTGGTTACGATGGAGCTCTGTGGACAGACCAGAAAAAGTCATTTCACCCATAGTCTTTACTTCTGTTACCCAGCTGTACTTTCAGAATCCTTTCAAAGGGCCTTTCTTAGTAATAATAACAATCCACTCTGTAACACCAAGGAGCTTTCTGTTAATCCTATTGTTTCTTCCATCTTTGGTTATATAGACTTACACCAATTCTCCTCATTGATTTACAACACTGGCCCTGAGTAAGATTGTTCAGTAGTGTTCTGAAAGAAAAAAAAAATTGCCATCCCGATTTCTGAGATCTTTCTAAAAGCTTCCAATATTATGTTCATCCAGTTATTTTAGAAGTATACGATTTGACCATAAATATTGGTGGGACCATATACTAAATTTCATTTCTCTATTTCATCTTTAATCACCTCTGAATTTCCTATTGGTTCATTACAAGAGACGAACATCTTTAACAAAAGCTGTTTGCAAACTGTTTTGTTTTGTGTTATTGTGCAGGATATATTAGAGTTCTATTTATGTGGACATGAAATTTATACTTATGCCTGTCAAGATGGCACTTGCAGTACACACAGCCAAGGCCCCTAGAGATGAAACCATATTGACCATTTCAAGTACAAGTAAAACACACCCAAGTCATGTTGTCCCTGGATTTTGTGGTTAATTCAGTCAAAGAGACCTACATTAGTTCTTATTTAATTTTTAATTAATTCAATTTTTAAGCATCAAATGGGATTTGTTACACTTGTTAGCTCATACTACAGTTGTTTTTAAGAAGAAATGTCAAGTTTATTTGACCTATTTAATTTGGAACAGATCTCAGATTTTTTTTTTTAAAGGTCAACCAGTCAAGCAAAGTCTAGGTAAAGCAAAATATTGTTAGATATTGTCTTATTATTTATCAGATTAAATACAATTTCTATGCTCAAAATCAGAAATAATTTCTTTTCTCTGAGATGGTAAAAATTATGAAGGAACTAGCAATGGTAAATGGGGGATAAAAATGACAAAGGGGTTGAATACAACTAGTGTGTGAGAAATTTTTCTCTTAGGCCTCTTCTGAATTTTAAATTCTCCTGAAGTAAAGATCTGTTGTATTTCTCCCTTACTTCTGCTTGATAACTCACAAAAAGGTTATATTTCCCAAACTGTAGAAAAACAAAAAGTACTGTACATTTCCATGATAGAAATCTAAACACAAAATGTAAATGTAGGAATTTTTCCTGCTATACCATTTTCTTTGAGAAAATGTTACATTTATGCAGCTTTTAGCATCTTAGTTTTAAAATGTGATTTATTTTGTATACATTCACATTTCACTCATATTCCCAAAGAATAAAAGCAAGAAGGAAGAGGAATACCTCTTGAGGTATCAACATTCCCCAAAAAAATCAAGAATAAACTGTTGTCTTTGCTGGATGCAGGGTGGAGAATTCATTACATTCAAAACCATGCTAAGTATTTTCAGATTTATAAAGTAGCTGGCATTTTTCAGTGGCCTCACTGGCTCTCTTCAGACCTCGATTTTCTTTGGTTTGTTCTCTGTTGAAATCATGCTATGCCATCTATTACCATCACCAGAGCTGTGGTCTCCTGATGATCTGATCCGGGAGTTCATTACCAAAATCACCATCCCAGTCACTGGGAGAACCAGGTCCCAGAGAAAGACCCTGATAAAATTAAATCTAAGGAACTTAGAAATGCCAATCAGAATTAATGAATACCAAGAACTTCTCCAAGAGCTTCATATATATTAAACCACTTAATCTTCACAGCAGCCTTATTAGGCTTAGGTACTATTTTTAATCTCATTTTTGAATAGGGAACGGAGGCATATAGGAGTTCTTAAAGTGTATGAAATATTTCACAGCTAGCAAATGCCAGGGGTGGGATTTAATTCCAGGATCTTGATCGTAGCCACTCTGACTCACTATACCCCTCTGTTTAAAGGAACTTGACCTTTGATTCTCTGATTTTAGCTCATAGAGTCCTTCATGAACTTTCTAGGGATTCAGTCTGATGCTGCTTATTAAAGGTGTCTAAGTTTCCCTCACCACTGAACTCCAAAAGAGTTCACCATACTTCAAAGACCTTCATCATTACAACCTTTCTTTGGATGCCATGAAGTCACCACAAATTTAGTGGTGAAAAATAACAAAACAATGTATTATCTTGTAATTCTATAGGATTCAACACAATCCATCTCAGAATTTCAGTGTCATTTTCCCCCTAAATAGAAAAATATTCCAAAATTTGTATGAATCCTTGAATAGCTAAAGCAGTCCTGAGCAAAAAGAACAAAGCTAGAAGTATCACACAATGTGACTTCAAAATCTATGTGGCTCAAGTGGTAGCGCACTCGCCTAGCATGCGTGAGGCACTGGGTTTGATTCTCAGCACCACATAAAAAATAAATAAAATAAAGATATTATGTCCACCTAAAGCTAAAATATAAATATTTTAAAAATCTATTACAAAACTGTAGTAATAAAAACAGCATGGTAAGCCAGGCCCAGTGTCACACTCCTGTAATCCCACAGACTTAGGAAGCTAAAGCAGGAGGATGGCAAGTTCAAAGAAAGCTTCAGCAACTTAGCAAGGCCCTAAGCAACTTAGCAAGACACTGTCTCAAAATTAAACATAAACAGGGCTGATGAAGTAGTTTAGTGATTAAGCACCCCTGGGTTCAATCCCCAGCATAAAAAAGAAAGAAAGAAAGAATTATGCCAAATAAATAGCTGTATTTTTATATCCATATACTCATTTCAGTGTTATTCACAAAAGCTAAGATAAGTATGCAACCTAAGTGTTCATTGTCAGATGACTGAATAAACAAAATCTTGTATATATACACAATGGAATATTATTAAGCTTTGAAGAGGAAAAATTCTGTTATTTCCAACAAAATAGATGAACTTGGAAGACATTATGCTAAAATAAAATAAGCCAGGCTCAGAAAGATGAATGCCATGTAATCTCACTTAGGTATGGAATCTAGAACATTGAACTCACCGAAGCAGAGAATAGAATGATGGCAACTAGAGGCTGGGGAAGGGGCCAATGGGAAAAGGGAGCTAATCAAAAGATACAAGTTTCAGCAGGGCAGGGGGAATAGGCTTTAGTGATCTATTGCAGAGGATGTAGACTATAATAAATAACAATGCCTTGTATAGTTCAACATTGCTGAAAGAGTAGATACTAAACATTTTCACCGCACACACAAAAATGATAAGCTTGTGAGGTGAGGGATTTGTTAATTAGCCTGGTTTAATCATTCCATATTATAAACACATATCAAAACCACATTGTACCTCATAAATATATATAATTATTCACAATGAAAAATAAAATTTTAAAAAATACTCTTGTAGTTCTGTAGAATGGAAGTCCAGCAGTCTCACGAGGTTTAGGGAAACTCTATGAACAATTTCATTTCCTTGCCTTTACCAGTTTCTAGAGACGTCTGTAAGTCTCTGTCTCCTTACTTCTTCCTCCATCTTCAAAAACCAGCAATGGGGGGGTGTGTGTCAAATTTTTCCTGTAACCTTGCTGTTACCTCTGTTTCCATCATCACGTCTCTTCCTCTCACTCTCTTCTATCTTCCACTTTTGTTGTTGTTGTTTATAAAAATTCTGGTTGAATTGATTTCCATGTAATGTTTATTCTAATTATGAAAATGAAAATAACATGTTCACTGCTGAAGTTTTAGACAGTTCAGAAGTATAAAGAAAAAAATCAACCATTCAGGAAAATCTCCCTTCATTTTAGCGTCCATTCTTTGTTTTTTTCTGTATATTTAAGATTCCATGTACCTATGTATATATGAGCTTATTTTCATATAATAGGCTCATAACCCATGTTCTTAATGTTAACCTGATTTTTAAAACTGAACACTATGATGTATACTAGTAAATTTAGGTCCACATTTTAAATAACTATGTGGAATTATTAAATTTTTTATACCTTATTGGATTTGATTTGTTGTTATTTTTGTTGAATCTTCATTCTGAAAAGTATCAGTCTGTAGTTTTCTTTTCCTGTAATGTCTTTGTTTGATTTTGGTATTAGGGTAATGCTGGTCATACAAAATGAGTTACAAAGTGTTACCTGTGCTTTTATCTTCTGAAAGAGGTTGTAGAGAATTGTTAGAATTTTTATTTTGGTAGAATTACCAAACAAAGCTATCTGGGTCTGGTGCTTTCTATTTGGGAAGTTACTAGTTGTCAGATTATCTATCTTTTCTTGTATGAGTTTTGGCAGGCTGGGTCTTTCAAAGAATCAGTTCATTTCAACTAGTTTATCAAGACCTTAAATAGAGAGTTATAATATTCTTTTATTGTCTTTTTAATGATTTGAGTGATGTCTCCTCTTTCACTCTTGATAGTAGTAACTTATATCCTCTTTTTCTCCTTAGTTAGCCTAGCAAGAAGCTTATTAATTGCACTGACTTTTTTTTTTAATGAACCAGGTTTGGGTTTCATTGATTTTCCCTATTTTCCTATTTTTCATTTCATTAGTTTCTGCTCCACTTATGATTTATTTTCTTCTGCTTACTATGGACTTAATTTGTTCTTTTTTTTTCTAGTTTCCTAAGGTGGAAGCTTATGTTACTAGAAGCCACACCAAGGAATCCTGTATTTGGTCCCCTGCCTACATAAGGAATGAACAAACAATATAAAATATAAAAACAATATAAAAAGAAAAATGAATTTAATCTAATTGTAGCTTGCCCCAAACTGGGAAGGTAGCTAATTCATAGGCCCTACAAAGTGGTTACAATTTACAGAAATAAAAGCCAGGGAATGTACACATGTAGATTTAGCTAGATCATGCTAGCCACAGTATGTCAGAAATCTAGGTTTTTCAACACTTGGCTGGCATCTGCACAGGCTTTGGGACAGTGTCTCAGTTCCCATTGTCAGTATGAAAAAACTGATATTGAACAATAACTTTTACCAAGAAATGGAAGGGAAACAATCAATTTGGAGCTTTTAATTTTAAAGGAGTTCTGTTATACCTAGGTGATCGCTATTAGATCTTTCTTCTTTTGTAACATCCACATTCAATGCCATAAACTTCCTTCTATACACCCAATTTCACTGGATCCCAGCATTTTGATAAGCTATGTTTTCTTTTTCATTTCGTTCCAAGCATGTTTTAATTTCAGAGTACTCCTTTGTCCTATCCCTCTTCCACTTTCACAGTGGCCCTAGAAGTATGCTATTCTATCTTTAACATCAACTGATCTGAAACCGTAATTCCACCTACAACTTTAATTTCCCCATGACATGTAATCAACACATTCACAGGTTCTGAAGAAGAGGACATGGAACTGTTCAGGGCTTGGGGAGGCACTATCACAATGGCTCACTTAGTGTTGGCAAAGCAATTTGATTAAGAAAATCCACACTAAGATAGAAAAGAGGATTTTGCTTAAGAAAATGAAATGTTAACCTGTTGAATTATGAATGATAAGCCTGAGGGAAATAATAAGAACATTTGGTGCGGACAGTTCATCCCAGAGGTATTTTGGAGACCAACATGGGGAAACCAGTGCCCTCCCAGTCGCTGATGTATCTCTTACTCCTCTGCTGCATGGAGGAAGAGCTCCAAGCCTCTTACCAAGACTCACCCCTTCTGAGTCTCATTCCCTCAAAACATGTGACACATTATAATTTAATTAATAAAAAACTCAGTCTCTAGATCTTTGTCACCTAGCAGCTGAGTGACCTTTAGGAAGTTATTCAGTCAGAAACTCAGTAAAGCGGTCTGTTGTGGATATTAAATAAGAAAAAAAAAAAAAAAATATATATATATATATATATATATATATATATATATATATATATGTAAGCAAAGTACGTGGCAATTAGTGTCAACCGGATAAGTTTTGGTCAGTAACAGCAACAGTAGTAGTAGAATGCTGTAATAGTTAAAAGCGTTAATGACATGCCAGCTTTTTCATTGTATTCCTGTTAAAAGAGACACCCAAGGAAGCACAGTGGCCTCACATGTGGTTTTCAGTCCACTCTGGAAGCCCCAGTAGGCTTTTATCACCTATCTCTAGAAGGCATGGTAGCTGGAGAATGATAGTACAGAATAGGCTAAACAATTTGGTTAAATATCTGTTTTATAAATGATTTTCAGTATAGTATCCATTGAATTAAAAATAGCAGCAGCTTTCAGTACAGATTGGAAACCACAGTTCCCTCTGAAAGAAATGACTCCATCATGGTGGAAAAGTGAGTGTTTAAGGAAGCAGCTCCCCCAAATCTGCTGGCGTGGACATGTTCTAGTTCTATTCTCTTCTAAACAGGGTCGGGCTGACCTTGTAGGAGGAGAGACAGGCTTAATGTGTGCTTCAGAGAAGGGACATTGGTGCTTCTAGCTTGTCAGCAAGAGGCTTTGCTGGTTTGTTTCTCAACAAAACCACACTAAATGCCTGGAGAGTTATAATATAAATGTTATTTATATTTTGCCTACATGAAGAGAAATAGAATCATCATGGTGAGAAGAAATGTTCTATATTTAAAATGTTTCCAAATGGTGCTTTTTTTAAATTTTGTTTTGGGGATTGACTGTGGCTTTTCCAGCCTCATTCGATAATTACTTCCTTTACAAACATCAAATGATCTTTTTTCATGTGTGTAAGATTGTGCATGAATGACAGCACCCAAAATAATTCTTGCTGTTCTCACACAGCACATGCTCCTTTGATATTTTTAGCATATCAGTAGTTGATAAATGAATACTAATCACTGATTTCACTCTTTTCCCCTTTTTCAGGCCCTTGAAGGAAAGCTACTTGATCCAACATCTAATAGTCACAAGTTTGAAAAACGTGCTTCAGAATCCCAGCACATAGTAAAGGAAAAGACAACACTGATAATTATACCTGTCAAGAAGCTGTGAACACATGGTGTATAAATTCTTTACCACGGCAACTCGACACCTTCTTTCTCTGGGCTTGAGCAGCCCTGTCGCCCCCACTCCCTGTTCACTGGCTCTTTACACACACAGACCTTCCATTCACTGCAGTGGGAATTCTCAGTGTGTAGAGGGAGAGATGCTTTCCAGTCTGCAGACCGAAACAGTGTGAGAAGAGTAAAGTCTGTGACTTTGGAATAAATCACCAGGGCCAGGATTAAGTGAGTCTTTGGTCTATAGCTTTTCCAGAGATTAGCAAGCCCCTCCTTAGGCCCTAGTTCAAACTGTATCAGTTCAAGGTGGTCGTCACTTGAAAGAATCCTACACTCTGCCCTTGGCCCTGGCCCCTCCACAGTCCACATTGCTGAGTTGTCTGAGTTGGAATTCCAGTTCATTGTGCACTCAACCTCTACCCTCCTTTGGAAAATGGCAAGTTATTACACTGTATTTATAGTCTCTTCATGCTCTAGAAGCACCTGGCTTTTTATTTTCTGTTTCCATGAATTTTGTTATGCATTAACAGAGTGGGACACTTTTAGCTCAACTTTTAGTTTGCTAAAAACAAAGGTAGGAATTCTAGTACTATACTTATATTTTAATTTAAGTATGGTTTGTATCTATTATTAATTCTAACAGAATATAATGTATATTTATTCCACTATATATATACATATATACATATATATATATATATATATATATATATATATATATATTATCAGAATACATTTGTTACAACTTAGATTCTTTTCTTACCAAGCATTATGACTCTGGTGAAAGGATACTAGGAAAAGAACTAGCTTTGTGAAAGGATCCTCACATCACAAATACAACCCTGCTCTCAATTTTAATTTTTGTTAAGTTTTATATTTTTGATTGTTAAGCTCTGGAGAAATCCAAACGCTGCATACACAGATGTACTGTCATGAAAGTCTTTAAATTTTAATACTTTAAAGCTTAGGATATATATATATATATATATATATATATATATATATATATATATATATATATTTTTTTTTTTTTTTTTCACATAAAGTTTAGATCAGTTTCCCCAAATATAAAAATGTATGTTTTTGGCAGTCTAAGATCAATCAAAAATCTTATTTCTTTTTCAATGAAGCATATGGAAACCAGAAACCAGTGTTATCAATATTGTGAATGGTACATGCCGCTTCTTCCAGAGGGAAAGATTACTTATTTCATTTATGGAGCCACTTACAGAGATCACAATGTTTGACTCGTGATAACTCTAGGCACCTAATCTGGTTTTACATCATGGAATGAATAGGAAGCAATCATTATTTCAGCACTTACTGCCTTAAGCACAAAGCTATAGCTGAAAACATAATAATTGCCCAGTTAAAACAATCCAGACAGATCATTAAAACAGAAGCAAATATTTGAATAGTCCCTTTCCTCAGATGCAGAAATTCCCAAGATATAATAAATTTGACATTTCTGATAATCCCCCAAAATAAAAATTTGTGAAGCTCAGTTTAGAGACGATCATCTTACAAATAAATCCAATGAGAATGACCCAGCCCGTTTTATTTTTCCGTTGGGTGGCATCACTGTCAATACCAAGTCCTCACTGATGGTCACAGTGCATCTCCCACAAGGGACAAACAGTAAGGAACTAGGAGGCTCACCAATTCATTTAAACATCATCTTGCTGTGTTAACAGGTTCCCATCCTTGAAAACATATCATTTTTTTTTTTTACTAGAAAGAAGTGGGGACTAGGGTAGGGACAACAATGACACTGAATGTTATGTAAAATAGGTTTATAAACAAGACAAGCATGGCAAGAGGGAATAAATGGAAACTATATGAGCATTATTCAGTTTGAAATATAGTTCTCATTTTTATAAGAAAAATTTAACGAAACATATATTTTAGTTATCATTTAAAAAAGAAATATTAAAGCTATTCAGACAATGCCACAAGATTCTCATAAGAGGAAATCATTGCACCCTTGTAATGAGAAAATGGTCATTTCTACATATTTCAATACATTGTATAAATTTGGAGCTTAAGGTTCGTATGCTTTCATTTAGTGGTTAAGTGTTCAGTTCGGTGATATTGATGCTATATGGCTTCACACCAACACACCTATCCTCAAGGCACCACAGAAGCAACTGTGAAGTGAACAGATACTTTAAGTTTGTGTTTTCTACAAGTCTGTATTTTATGCTTTATTTGTATAATGTTAAGTGCTGATAAAAGTATTTCAGGTTGTTTGTCAAAGTGAAGGGCCAATACATCATACTCGTGGCATCTGAGGACAGATTACATGTCGCAGTGGTCCTACATACAAATGGACAATTCTCTTCAGTAAAATTTATTTTGTTGAAATCTAAGCCAACCCCTAAAATTTTAATCAAAAGGATCCCTAAGACTTAAAAGAGAACACTTGTGGTTCTCTTAATTGTCAATGAAGCCAGAGGGAAAGGGAGAAAAATTACCATAATTTGTACTAATGCTCATTATTATTAATTATACTAGAGTCCCTGTTATCCCAAGTCATATTTAAAAACAGTAAAGACAAGTAGATTTATTTTAAATGAAGTTCAATCTTCAATAAAATAAATTAGGTATTAAAAGTTACATGAAAATTGATTCTGACTCATCAGGGACCCTGGTGAATTTCAGTTCTTTCCCTTATTCAAGTTGGTGGCCAGTGGGTCAGATTTTTCTAAACTCTTTCCTGCTATGATTTGAACTGCAAACACACAGTAAACACGCCATAAAAGAATTCCAGAACCTTTTCACTGGAGCATTTACATTTTGATTCTGTTGCCATTTGAAACAGAACATCTGCAGGGAGATAATGAGCTTAAATTACAATTGACTTTGGAAAGAATAACAGACTTTTGTGCTTCCTCAATCATGTAATCAATAGGGAATTCTCTAGTTATGTGAACTACCATTACCTTTTAAGACAATGCTAAGATCTAAATGCAAAAATCTAGCATTCAGGGGCTTTTTAAGGATTTGAGGCTGTCTCTGAAGAACTTGGCTGGAGATGCATTACATCCAATTTACAAATGTAGTTTCCAAAAGTGACAGCAAACTGATCTTATTTCACTGCATTTTACTCAGCTGAAAATATAGGACACCAAGACATGGAATATTTTGTCTACAATACTTTAAACATCTATAGATATTTGTGGATGCGCGAATAATGCCTGAATTTATCTCTTTTTTTGTCAAGTTTGTGCTTATTACACACACACACCCCACCTGTAAGTAAGACCACTTTCAGATAACATCATGAAGTACATATCAATTCTCTGAATGTTCAGAGGCCAATATACAGCAAGATCTTAAAAAAAAAAAAAAAAAGATGGTCCCACTCACTCGTTCTTCTCTGGGTCTCAAACTCCAGGAGATAAGAAACTGTAAATTCCTTGTCCATAGCTTGGCCCAGTGTAGACACTTGGTAAATATTTGTTGAATTAATGAATAATTAAGGAAGTGGAAAGACAAATAACTACATTTTGCATTCTGATAATTTTGCACATTTTCACTAATATACAGTATACTGATGGGCACTCTAATTTCTAAATGTCAGAGTTAGGACCAGAATTGATTCTTCTTCTTCTTTTTTTTTTTTTTAGACAAATGAATTTGGAATCAAATTACTTCAAAGGTTTCAGGGGTTCAAAACCTTTAGATCAATGTTTGGGAATTCAATTCTTTTTTTTTTTTTCAATGAATAAAATCAAAGCTTTCTAGTTCTTTATGAAAGTACTTGGAATTATTTGGCAGAGATGATCCAAAGGTGGATCCCTATTTATAAATTTTATAAAAAGGCATGTTTTAGCTGGGTGTGGTGTAGTGTACCCCTGAGACTCTGGAGGCTGAGGTAGGAGGATTACAAGTTCAAGTCCAGCTTTCTGAGCAATTTAGTGAGGCCCTCAGTACCTTGGTGAAAATTTGTCTCAAAAAGTAAAAAGCACACTGTGTTAAATCCCCAGTACCCAATTTAAAAAAAAAAAAGTTTTAGTTTCTAAAAAAGAAGAAAAGTCACATAATTAAGCAAAATTATTAGTATCCCTTTAAATATTTATTAAGAATATTTCTCTAAGGAATTCGTAGTCAACAGAAACACCATTTCTGAATTTTCTCCTGCTTTCAAAAGGTCACTTCTTTCTTATTCCTAGAAATGTACCTGAGCTAAAAGCTAATCATACACCTACTCAAATCTTTCCACATGTTTATTCATTTAACAAATATTTACTGTATATCTAATACATGCTAAGTTCTGGAAACCTTGAGACACAACACAGATATAGTCTCCTCAACCTTTGCTCTAGTCATAACTAGAGTTCATTGTCCATTGGGTCACCTTCATACCTGTCAGAATGAGTAAAATCCCACCCCATGGACATCAAGAAATACTCTTTACACAGATTTATGTGAGCTTGCTTTTTAAAACACACCACTCAAAAATGCTTATTAGTTTCACATATAAACCACAGTTAAAACCCAGACAGGTAGGAAATAACTTATAACATTTATTCAGCTCTCCCTATATTTAGCTACTGTGTTCATGAATCATCTCATTGAATCCTTTCAACAATCCTATTCATTGGATTCCATTTTATATTGAAGAAAACTGAAGCACAGATAGGTAACATGTCCAAGGTCACACAGCTAGCAAGTGGAATTGGGAATGGAACCCATGCAGTCTGACAAAAGAGCTCACACCTAATCATTGTCTGTGGTTTTGGGGGATACCATCACATTAAAAATGAGTCATTAAAATCAATGAGTCATTGTATATAAATAGTACTTTGAAATTGTAAAGTAGTATACAAAAGATACTAGTAAATATTACTGTTGGTCAACAAACCATATCAGTAACAAAAGCAGAGTTAGAATTCAATCTAATGTTATAGCTCACTCTCATGAAGACTATTTCAAGCCAGGGACATGTGTAAAAGTACAGATCCAGAAAATTTCTGACATGCGATAAGTATTTCAATGACTTTTTAGAATTATTTGTCATTAGCCACTGTGTCTATTTGGTGCTACAAAAACTGAACGAAACAAAATCCCTGCTCTAAGGGCTTATATTAAATACACAGTGTGGAGATGAACCAAGGATATTTCACATTTGTGGGGAAGGATTGGGCAACTGTACCATTTTTTTTTCACAATTGCATGTGTATCATGTCTTTCTAATTGTTTTTGTT